ACTAGTTACTAGTAGCTTCTTGCTCCTAGTAGAAATGCCAGGAGCTACTAGTAGCTTCTTGCTCCTAGTAGCGATGCCCTTTGTTACTAGTTACTAGTAGTTTCTTGCTCCTAGTAGTAATGCCAGGAGCTACTAGTAGCTTCTTGCTCCTAGTAGCGATGCCCTTTTTGTGAGCAGAACCGAACTGGTCTTGGGAACCTACCCAAACACAGCGGCCCAGCTGTTTCTTGCTCGTGAGCTCAAGGTCGGGTGAAACGGCCACGGAAGCTACTGCGTGCTTTCTCCCGTGCACAACAGTCAAATGGGCGCTTTGCCCGCTTGAGCCAAAACAAGTGTTGTGAAACAACTGTGCAAAAAGACACAAGGGCTGTTAGGGACAGTATCATTCACACTCGCCCCTCAGCCGGCAGCTACACTAGCTAGGTCCGGCTCTCACTTCAGCCCGCGCACGACCGGCCGCTGGGCACCGGTGGGTCTGACCCGCATCGGCAAGCAATTCGATCTTCCCTTTATGCTTGGCGAATGCTTTGGTCAAATCTGGCTGGTCCAGACTGTAGGCAGCCAGAAAAACAGCAGAGTCAGGGTGTCGCTCTAGCAAGTCGATCACCGCTTCTTGTGATGCACGGTCCTTTAAGTATTCGACCGTGATCTCTGCTGACGACGCGCCGCCCTTGGGCCGAGGTGCGCGCACCGCGGCAACCGCGTCCTTCTCACGGACCGCGTGTTGCAAGTCTTCATTGACTCTTCCGTGCGTCAGCCCCTTGAAGCACCCTGCAGTCGTCTCCTTGGACTCATCAGCGCTGAACAAACGCTGAGCCTTGCTCACTACCCCCGTGAAGCAAAGAGCCTCCGTGGAGCGACCACTGACACCCATACTCTTGAGAGCTGCTGCACCTTTATTTTTCACCACAGATCCTTCTTCAAACTGGACGGCCCGACTTGGGCCCAATCCCATCATCCTAGCTTGTTCGACGGCGGCATCAATATGCCCGCACGTCCCTGCATCAATGAACCCTCGACAGGCACAAGCCGATTGGCGCGGCGTGGTTAACCGCATCCACACGACGTGCTTTCCTTTCGATCCGGACACCTCCCAGCTTGTCTGCCCATCGGGTTTGTACTCCAAAAGTTTTGCAGGCAGGGTGTTTCCATGATAAGCTCGCACAAGCCTATTGGCGACAGTTCGGCCAAGGAACCATAGCCCCATGATCCCAAGCCCCAAGACCGCCGACTTACAGATCAGGCCGGTGATCTGGATGGTCTGAGCTGTCGTCTCTTCGATCTCGAAGAGCACCCTGGAACTGAGGCTGCTGATGCTGTCAAGCACCTCCTCAACTTCCTGCTCCGTCCTCCAGGCGAGCGGAATCAAACTTGCGCCGACCAGGACCTTGACCGCTAGGTCAACAGACGGTCCATTGCCATTCAAGGCGTGCTGCAACTTATTCAGCACCTTCCTGGGAGCAAAGTGTTTCTTCCAGCGCTTGCTCACCAACCTTTTCCTCATACCAATCTCAAGCGCTTTCACAAGAGAGAGGCCCTTGACCGTCCGCGGCACTCTGTGCCCGCGAGGCGATCGGTGGTGAACGCGGCCACACCTGCATACCTTCTTCTTGTGTTTCCGGCCGGCTCTCTTCCTCCTTTTGACTTCCGGCATCTGCCTGAGAGTGCGTTCGACCAGACGCTCCCTTTCGGAATCAGAGCTCTCATCATCCCCACGATGTCGACTGCGTAGGGTAGA